ATACATACATACACACACACACTATATATATATATATATATATATATATATATACATGCAGGTACAATTTCAATTCACAATAAGATAATAAATTGATAACCACTTTGTATGATCACTCATGTCATGCAAAAACTGGATGTGTACATTGTCGATAATATCAAAATATCCACACAATTTCTTGCAGATTCTCTATTTATTTGCTTAAACAAATGGAGCATGCATTCTTGAAATGCACTGTCTTTCTGCAAATCGTGACATGGGGATATGAAAGCCACAAAAATTGTTCGTCATAAAACATACCTCTATATAGATCTCTGTGCGTATATATCCATACTATAGAAAATACAGTAAGTACAACCACCGTCGTGAGCTTGCTAATAGTTCCACTGGGCTTCAGCATCGTGCTATCTTTCTCACTTCAAGCCAAACACGAAAGCGGTCAAACTGTATACTGTCTGATATGTATGCAAGGCTCCATACATACACGCATCCGTTCGTATGAGTTATATCAGATCAAATCTACGAGTACATGTGTATGTGGATGTATGTGTACAAGTGCACGTGCCTATGCCTTGGATTCTTGCTTACAGGAGATTTGTCGAGACTAACCACAGACTACTATCTACTTTTTATGTTGGGATGCAAGCGTGAACTGCCACTGTAAGCAGTACTACGATTACTAAAATTTACTAAGCCATATATGTATTCCCTGAGTGCACTACAAATGACCCTTAATATACATACTACTACTATGCTTCATGTGTATATACAACTCAACGAGTATGCACACACTTAAATACTCTCTCTACTAGAGTAAGTAGTAGAGCTTTAATTTGTATGTAATTAAATAAAAAGCAAATCCGACGACACAGCTTTTGTTGCTATGACCTAAATAGTGATATTTCGTCTCCAACCTATTATTCCGTACGTTTCTTGAAACTTTTGGCGGCATATTTATACGTACAGTACACAACATTTTTTAACGTTAAAATATCATATGTTTTTCTCAAAGCAGAATCAACGTTTAGTATTTGTACAATATAAACCAGCAGAGATCGAATAAACGTTAATGAATCGATTACATATTTTCAAAACCACTTTACTAGTAGTAGTGGTAGCTCTGCCTCTCTACTACCTACTACTCTCTCTAGTCTCTACTAAATACATAGAGTCAGAGAGAGTATAACTGTAGACTGTAGAGTAGAGCAGTCTCTGGCACACTCTACTAGTAGTAGTGGTAGCTCTGCCTCTCTACTACCTACTACTCTCTCTAGTCTCTACTAAATACATAGAGTCAGAGAGAGTATAGACTGTAGAGTACTGTAGACTGTAGAGTAGAGCAGTCTCTGGCACAAAATAAATAAAATGGGGGCGACTGGCGAATCTTTGATCTATCTATATAAATATTTAGATGTAGAGAGTAATAATATATAAGGGAGCTACAAATACAAAAGTCACCAAGATCATAACCTTCTTGATGCATAGGCTCGTAGCCTTCCTCTATTCTATTTTTTTAACGCCTCTCTATAGTAGTATGTATTTAATGTAGTAGTATGTATTTAGTAGAATGTGTTATATAGGTCTCTTGGTTTATAAATAAATAGAATACTTTCAGCGGTCAAGTAATCTTTCACTGATACGTTGTGCTTTCATTTGGACACAGCACAGTGCATCCCCACTTGCGTTATAGTATGAAGTTCGAGTTCATACCCACGGGAGAAATCTCGTTTGTGATTTGCATGGTATGTGTGTGCCTTCTCCGAGCGTATCCTGCAATCATACGCACTTTGGATTGCGAGCGATTGCTCATTTATGAGGTGTATGTCGAGTATATATAATTCTACGAACAATTGTGCAATACTCGTTTCACATAACCGAATCACATCGCGAAACAGCATATGCTTTGTCTCGTCCACAATCGGAACATACTACACAGGCAAACACGTGTTATCCACCATTGAATACTCAAGTACAATATGCAACCGCACCCCAAAAATTCCAGGATGTTCCTGTAGAGGCGTCTGACCTGCAGTGCTGCGAGGGCCTCTACTGTCTCGATCATATCCTCAAGGAGGTTCAAATCCGCAAACGTTGCCCACAGTGTCGCGTTAGTATATGTCCAAATGATATAGCTCCGGCATACTCAGCCAGGCGAAGGATTAACAATCTACGAGCCAGATGTGTGGCATGCGGTGAAGAGGATACCTGGAATGTGCTGACGCGAACACACCAGACATGCGCCCCAAAGTATGTAAAGTGTTTGTGCGCAAAATATATATGGCAATATATTTACAGGATCAAAGCTGCGTATGCCGAGAAAAGCACAAACCTGCAATTTTTTTTTTCAATCAATACAAAGAAAAAAGAAAATGCTTACATTTGCTTTCCACCATTGCAGCCCAATCTGTGCTGGTGTGTCTAATCTTCTACCCATTCCCATTCTCGCACAATTTAATGAATACTCGTGGTGCGTATCTCGAGTGGTTCACTGGCGGTGTAGCTACACTTGGTATAACCATCTGCTGTGCCTGTTCCTTGTGTCGAGTATCTGATTTACCCGCCCTTGCTTAATTCGACATCGCTCTGCAGTCTTAAACACCAGCGCTCACGGATGTAAAAATCCATTCTCGAGCTGTGCATGTACTCTCATGACGTCTCCGCAATAACTTGCACGTGATGACATATTCTTTAGAGCGGTTGCACCCCGTTAATTGTCTGCCCGACTCTTTGTACACATACCCACTCGTACTGTATCCTTTGTAAGAATGCTGATACGCTCTACATGGCCACCGTCACTAAGCGTGTACCGCTATATACAACGAATTCATCTACTTGAAACACTCTCACATACTACCGACAGCATAATGACATTGAAGCCCGAAACACGCCGCGTTTTGTATCCTTACAACGGCATAGAACCGGGCAGCGAAGTGCATGTGTGCGGACTCTCTGAGAAGTGGGCTATGTGTCTGAAACAACCGGACAAGACGATGTACACCATTCCCAGACAGTTTGTATCCGACCCCAAAGTCTCGTCTGTCCCTGACCAACCCGACAGCACTGATGCGTGTGAGTTTTGATCGGGTGAATTGCTGAATGGAATTTTAACTCGATGGTTCGATTTACAAAACGCACTTGCCAACCTGGCCGGCGGAGATATGCTCGCTTACATATTTTTTACTAGTTGCACGCATACATGCGCATGTGATTTTGAATTTTGAAACCCGGATCTGCAAAAATGTGTTCGTGGGTGGGTATTCTATATATGCAAGATATTTGCAAGTTCAGATTCTACCCAGGTGGGCTAATAAGTGTTCAGATTCAGCTGATAGGTATTCAGGTTCATGCCCAGTATGAGTATGTAAACAGACACAGATAGCTATGTCAGTCCAGACAATCCTGGCTGTTGAAGTAACACGCAGAAAGTTCTGCCTTGGCCTATGTCTTCATCTTAATGAGACACTCAGCTTTGCAGTGTATGTGAGTTCGATGAATGTGTTTGGTTCCTGTTTGGTATTCTTTTGAACCAGCACTAATGCACGGTGTTTCCTGTTGTTTGTAATTCTCAGCCATGTGGATGAAGAGTGCTCTAGATCGCGGTGTCGAGGATCGGGATGTGCTAACGGCATGTATAAAATTTGTCGTACCGAAGTTCAAAGACAAAATGAATACACCAGCGGAAGAAATAAATCCATCAGCGTCATGGCACCCAACAGGCACACCAGCGTCATGGCAACCAACGAGCACACGAGAGCTTTCGGAACAAATGCACGCAGCAGGTCCTATTAGAACTATTCCCCAACGTTCGACCAACTTTCATCACGTGGACCCCCGTCGTGCACCCGGTTATGAGGTAAATACCTTCTAATTATATGTGGCTACTTTTATATGTTGCTACTAAGCCTGTTGATTCTCCGGTGCTGTCCTGTGCGCTCTGTGGCTGTGCTGGGGGTACTATGAAAGTGTGGCGTGTCGCTGTTATATGTGGCTGCTTGGTCTCTTGATTCTCTGGCGCTGTCCTGTGCGCTCTGTGGCTGTGTTGAGGGTACTATGAAAGTGTGGCGTGTCTCTGTTATATGTGACTACTTGGCCTGTTAATTCTCCGGTGCTGTCCTGTGCGCTCTGTTGCTGTGTTGGTGGTACTATGAAAGTGTGGCGTGTCTCTGTTATAGGGGGCTACTTGGCCTGTTGATTCTCTGGTGCTGTCTTGTGCGCTCTGTGGCTGTGTTGGAGGTACAATGAAAGTGTGGCTTGTCTCTGACGACTTCCACAAGCAATGACGCTGTGATCTACACTCAACACCATGGCGCAGTTGCCTATTTGGATTCTATCTGCTCGTGTGCATTGATTGTTTTTCTACTGTGTTTCTCGCAAACCGTCCCACTCGTACCATTACTCCCGTGTTGAACGGGACAAAAAAAAGCCCGGTATGACAGGTGCGCAGACCTCATCCATTCCACCCACACCTGCTTACCTGTTTTGAATCCGTTCTTTCTCCCTTCCACACAGACTTTATGGTCGACATTGGCGAGTTCGAAAGTCCACAGACGACCTTAGCAGGGCCTGTCGGGAAGTACTCGAGTGTGTTAAACCTGGCAGCCTCTGAGCAGCTGTCGCCAGAAGACTCAATTGCGGACGCCCAAGCGGTCGTAGCCCACTTTGCGGATGCACCCAACGCCGACGTTTCCTTCCAACACTTCACGGCGCCTGTGTTGAGCGAGTGCCAGTGTGCTACACTGATGGATTGCGTCGAAGCGCTGCACGCAGATTCACACGGACCGATTACAGTACACGGGAACGTGGCTTTGAACGCGAACGAGGCTGTGAATGTATCCGACGTGCTCTGGGAGGTACTGTTGTGGATAGCAAAGCAACAGCAGCAGACTTTAAAGTCACACTAAACGTGCTGCAGCTGACGGGTTTGCTCGATGCGCGTAATGTGGAGAAGCCTGCGGCGCTGATCAGCAATCAGTATTCCGAGATCAAGCTGAGACGCGTGCAAGCTAATGGACAGGTGAATTCATCGCAGTGTTCATACGTGCCATTTGTTGGTTGATTGGATGTCTGCCCGTATCTGTAGGGTTGTGCATATTTTGGGATTCGACAGATGAACCGTTTATTCGACCAATAATGCCTAACGTGCGCGTTCGTGTGCTCTCTCTCTCTCTCTATCTCTCTCTCCTCCACAGTGCATACCTTTCCACATGGACCATTCGCGCCGTACGCTACAGGTAAGTACGCAAGAAAATTGGGTCTGTCTTTAACTCGTATATTTTTAATTATATTACGTCTTGTGCTCATTTTTCTGCCAAAATTCAGACTTTCGACCCATTTTCTGGTTCTCCCAGGTACTGTTGAACCGGGATGGGGCCGATTACATAGGTGGCAATATAGTATACACCACCCAGGCGGGGTTTAAAACACCGGTGCGTGTCGCCGGATCTGCCACAGTACACGACAACACCATCCCACACGGTGTGACACAGATGCGAGAGGATGTGCGTTACAGCCTATTCTTCTTAGACAACTATGCAGGACAATCCCAGGGACTCAATTCAGTGGGTGGCTGCACACTATCGCAGATAGATAGATACATATTGTATGTATGGATGTATGGATATATGTATGTAGACCTAAGTATAGGGGAATCCGTCTTCACTGCCGGACTCAACTCAACTCAACTCTTGTCAGCAACGTCAGCCATCCCCGGAGCTCAGCCCAATGCAGGCATGCACTCGTACATGCGTGCCATGAACCTGAGTACGTATCTATACTCGTGTCTGTGTTTGTATGTCTGCGTATCCTGTTGTGCACATACGCGCGTGTGCGTACCATCCTCCGTTATAGAATATAGCCCAGCTGTTATGGTATCTCGCTAACCAGAAGTGTCATGGACGGTTCGGGCCTCAGTGTGACGCGCAGTTTTTCTTTAACTACAAACCCAGGCAACAGCTTCAACTCGAACTTATTGACAGCATCGATGAGTGCGCATTTCATTTCCAGTGTTGCTAGTCTGTGACCGATGCACATCTTTGGACCGGACGAGAAGGGCATGTAGGACTGGATATAAGCACAGGAAAACGGGTCAGAACGTATGCTGATATAAAATGGGTCAGAACGTATGCTGATATAAAATGGGTCAGAACTCATGCTGATATAAAATGGGTCAGAACGTATGCTGATATAAAATAAATCCTAAGCTGTGTATGCATAGACGATGCGGCATTCAACACGCTTCTGGTTGAGTGGTGTGGGAGATGGTTGGATGGACGACATACATGAGGGTTTGGATATGACGGGTTAAAAATAGGACCGTTATTGAAAACGGCAATCGTCCACAAGGCCTGGGCAGATGATACTCGTCTGGTATTATGTAACGGTGAACAGCTCATCACCAAGCACAGCGCACTAAATCATCAACGGGGTATGTAGATATGAGATCTATAGGCAACCATAAGGCCGTACGCAATAAAATGCTAGATACAAATACTACGCCTGCTGATGTACATATCCGTAGGCGACACCTGTGCATACCTATGCTGTATAGATTGGTTTGTAACCGATCCGATTATTTGATGCCAATTTCTGCGCGTGACAGTGAAAGTTCGGCATCCACAACAGGAACACTCTATCGCAATAGCATACCCGTCACTTAACTCCTGAAAGCCCGCACCAGCCGATCCAGGCTTCAGAATTGCACCTCAGTAGCGTATACCGGGAAGAACTAATAGAAACACACATGTATGTATACCATATGTATATCACATGTATATCATATCAATGGTGAAGAATGTCTGACGCTGACTTACCAGTCGCTTAACTCCTGAAGGCCCGCTCCAGCCAATCCAACGTTCGGGTATAAACTTCAGTGGCTGATCCCAGTCACCTGACCGGTGAGTTACCCATGGTGCTAGCATTATGGTTGTGTTCGCTGTAGTTGATGAAGTTCAAATGTAGAAGTTTTAGACGGAAGAGCTGGTGCTAGCAGTATAATTGTGTATTCTGTAGAATCGAAATATTTATACAACCCATATATATATATATATATATATATATATATATATATATATATATATATATATATATATATATATATATATATATATATATATATATATATATATATATATATATATATATATATATAT